TCGAAATGCACCAATCAGAGCTGTTGAAAAACAACTAATCACAGCAGAGCATCAGGCTTTATAAGATCACGCATGACCAGTCGACCTCATCGCCTGTAGAAGACTAGCACTATGCAGTCGAAACGTCGCGATCTACATCACACGTGACTACATCGCGAGACAAACGAAAAAACTTAGCTTTTATAGTTATTTAATAGCCGATCCAGCTGTTAGTTCGACTCTCTGTTACGGTGAAGTGTAAAAAAAATAGAACTTGAAAAGAGTGCTAAAACTAGAATCACATCTACCTGAGACATATCGGCTCCAGACTTTTCCGCGATGACTTTTCCCAAGTGAACTACCTCGTCCGACATTTTGGTAAGAAGCTCGCCTGTCTCTTCAGTGACTCCGGTATAAAACATGGGTGGTTGGTCCAATGGAGTTCCGTCCCACCCCACCCATTGACCATACATGATGGCCGGGTGCGAGCACGCGTTAGGGTTCATAAGAGAAACACCGATAAGGTGCCCAGAGACAGTCAAGCGAGGAACCCCACCAAGAAGGTACTGTAAAGACGTAACTGGCTCCTTCTTAGGTGGTGCATCGGATCCGACCTAAATAATAAGAGTAAATACTAAGCCGCGTTAAATTTACGGTAGAGGCGAGCAGCCGAATTCCCTTAAATTGCATTTCACAAGCATTTCATATGATTCTTGTTTTGATCCAGCAGAAAAAATACTCTCCTATTCAACATAACTGCAGAACTCGGCTAAAGTACATGTCACACACAAAATTAGATTGCACCATGTTCCTACCTGCATTGCGCCAACTAGGGTCTCCTTGGTTCCCAGGACTTCGCATTTCCTGCCGAATTCACTCAGACGACAAGCCCAAGGCAAGGATTCGAAGTTCATCACCGTACAACTGTTTGCTTTATCTCCCAGTATGCCGCGAACTTGGAATTCTAGTCCCGAGGCCCCTGGCAGACCAACAATTATCACACCCGGTTCAATATACGGCTTAAGAGCTTCCAGAAACACTTGATGGGCAAATGCTGGCAGCACGAAGGCTATGATGTCAACACCACGCACGGCTTTCTCTGGGTTTTTGGTTATCAAAGCTGGCTTGGAGCTGATGATGCTCGGGTCTTGGTCACGGCGGTTGCATGTGATCTCTAGATCAGCGGTTTGCATGATTTTGCTCCAACGCTCAGCCTCGTCTTGATACAAACTGAGCACCCTGACTTCAGTTCCCGGATGTGACGAGGCGATGCCAGCGAAGGCATGCGCACCATTACCACTGCCACAGATCAGAAGCTTTATGCCGTCTGTGGTACTCATAACTGGTAGAGCTCTGAAAACTTTTCTGAAAAATTTATAATAACAAAGGTTTGCATTGTTGTTAGAATTAAACAAAGCAGCATTTAAATTATAAGGTTACATCGGTTGCATAAGAACGGTCTTAGTTCAAGCGTAACAGCAAGGCTAAAGAAATAAAAACCGCCAGACTGAACAAAATACGACAAGGAGCAAGTGAGAACCCAGAGTTAACTAATATGCAAGACCTGAAGCAAGAGAAAACGGGAATTGCCGAGTAATGGCTGGGTTTTATATGTTTTGTATCTGATTTGTCGAAACGGTATTGTGACTTTTCCAGACCAATCACAGGACAAAGTCAAGGAAAATTTTCAAGTCGACTCCGGACTACTGGAAACTCAATGTGCAAAATTTCTCTTCTTTTTATTAATTCATTTTTTGATATGTCAAATGGTTTCTACACGCCACAATTCACTGTAGTTGATATTTTTGTTATCGGTAATTTCCAAATCAAAGCTCTTCAGGTACCAAACTGGAAGATATGTCACGCAGTAAAATTTCGAGAAGTCGTGACCGCAAGAAGTTGTGACCTCAAGAAGTCACGATTTTATCGTAGCGACCTCAAGATGTTTCCTCGCATTAATTAAAATGTTGCTCCAAAATGTACCTACGAAGGAGGCTTTTTATTACCAGTAGTTCAGCGGCAGACGTTTTTTAAAAACTCACAAAAAGATTCGAAACTTGCAACATAACACAAAAAGTGATTTTTGAAACCCAAAACAAAGATAAATTTCTTTAAAATCGGAGGCCTACTTGGTCAACATACTAGAGTGGAAAGATCTGTTTGGTAAAAGAAAAATCGGTTCTCTTGCTATTTTTCTAACGCTGGAGTTGGAGAAATCACAACAAGTCCTTTCAATCTAAACGAAGTTTCGAAATTTAAATCACATGTTCTTTTCTCTTCATCTAGCCGTCGAAAAAAAAAAAAAAAGGAAAAAATCTGATAACATAATCAAATCGACGATGAATGTGTTTAAAACGTAACATAACAGCCTCCTCTCTCACTGTTCCCTCCATGATTTCAAGTAAAACGCGGAAGAGCTTACCTCTTACTTATATTTAGCCGGGAATCTTTTTTATCAATAACAGCGACAAAATGCTCGTGCAGCCTAACACGTTGGCGCTAATCGGCACCGCTGAAATATAATTTATGCAAGCGCAGCTGTCAGTTGACCGAGATTAGAATGACAGGAAAATTGCAAATATGCAAACTTTGGCAAACGAGCGTCTGGCAGATGCCTTAGCTTTACATTAGCCTAGGATATGAAGGGTTAGGCTAAGCCGCAGAATACCCTGCCACTCATTTACATATCATTGAATAAGAAATAGAGAATAATACATGGGCGCGCGTAAATATGCAATTTCTCTTCGAGTGTTTAACTCGGTAGCTCACGAGTGGGCGCAGTGAACGAGTGAGATGTCGAGTTGAACACGAGAAGAGAAATTCCATATCTACAAACAACCATGTATTATTTTGTTTATCATATAAACACAATAGCTTTTTACTGAGAAAAAAAAAGCCGACTTTATTAATGAATGAAAATAAATAAATCGTCAATCCCCGAAAAACAATCTCAGAGTGTGTTGGCGCTAACTCTTAAGATGAAAAAGTGCGTTTAATCATGATTAGAAAAACAACAATGATCGTAATTTTCAGTTTACAAAATTCTCATTTATTGACTTTGTCCTTACCGACAGAAGAAGTCCTTCAGGTAAACGGCCAAAATCGGCCAGTGGCAAATCTTCCTGTTGGCGATTTTCATTCTCAGCCGAGTGAAATGCTAATACCAAAGCAACTGAATATGCAACTTTCGGTTTTTCTTTTAATACATTGGTTTCCTTCCCCTTCTAAGAAAGTTTGAACCTCACAGTCTGTGAGCGATACCGATTTCTTAGTGTTTTAGCCGCCGTAATTTGAGAAAGCTCCAAAAAAAAACTTGTATTGAGAATCGTGAAGGCTTTGCCGTTCAACCTGACCGAGTGGCGCCAAAGGCGAATGACGTGTTAGCAGCTGATTGGCTCTATCAACACACGTGAAAAAATACGACATTTTTTCACGTGTGTTGCTACGGCTTTTCTCAGAGCCGGAAATCCCTGTATAACACCGCAGTTTATGTGATAACAACGTTTATAATAAAGTTCGGATATAACGCGCGCTGTCATTGGTTGAAAGAGCGTGCTCTATGAGAGTTTATAATAAAGTTCGGATATAACGCGCGCTGTCATTGGTTGAAAGAGCGTGCTCCATGAGAGTATAGAGCATAGAACTGAGCTAAAGCTGTCACGCTATCTGCCAAATTGTACCATGTTCGACCTTTTCCGGGACTTCTTTTTAGCTTTTTTCCGATAATTGAAAGTGAAATTTCGAAACAAGCGAGCCGGCAAGTAGTAACAGAAGAACCAAAGAAAGGTTTGTAAACATACCAGGCGCCGTTATTTACGTTATTAAAACGTGGGCAGATACGAAAATCCTCAAAGGAAAAACAAAATAGACATTCCGAGTTTTAAAGATTTTCACGCTCAGTTAGATTGCAAGCTTACGTACGGTAATGAAAATCAAACACAGCCAACACTCGTATAGTATATAAAGTTCAGAGTTCAAAAACAAAACAGAACAAAACAGAAATGATGAAAAATATAACCAAACTGACATAATTGTCACAGTTAAAATTCATACTAATCATGACGGTGTCTGAGCAAATATGATCATGCTGAAGTCCATCGCGGTTCACTTATCATGCTGCCCTTCGAGTGTAAAAATAAGAGCTCGCTCTGATATCCTTTCCAATGTGTTGAGTGGAAAGTCACTTCAGTCACTGCAGCCGAGTTTTGCGGCGCTGTCATCCCGAGCGATCTTCATGTTCCGGTGAATTCGGCTGTCGTTCATTTAAAAAACACTCGCCTTGAACAGTTTGTTTTCTACCTTGTCATGTGAAAAAACCCGCGCGTTTTTATGAGCCATAATTCGGCTGAAGTTCACTGAACATTTCACTTCAAGATTCTGAATTAAAAACTTCAGGCAAAAGCGTTATATTCGACTTGCCGAATTATTTTAGTTTGTAAACTATCGCAGAGTGTGAACTTTGATGGTTTTTGAACTTTGATGGTTTGACACTTTTGACAGCTTTTGTCTTGTACAGCCAATCAGATTATTTGAACCATTCTAACAGGGATTCTGATTGGCTTATTGTAGCGTGCTCTATGAGAGTATAGAGCATGCTGACGACACTGTTGTTCGCTTTGGAATAAAGTTTGTTTTGAAAATTGAAAGTAATGCTCGGGGAATTTAATGGATTCTTTATTATAAAACAAATAGAGAAGCCTTGACTGTGCTCTGTTCTGTTAATTATTGTGTTAGGCCTCGATCTTTAAAACCTCCCGACACATGTAAATAAGGTGGACCAAAGTGGCAGGCTCCAAGAGTTATGGCAAATACCGCCTAATTGTCTTACTTAACTAACTTTCTTCAGTTGACTGCTCTGAAACATCAACATTAGTGTCACGCAATCTATGCATGTCAACGGAGCTCTTTTTTTCGTGCCAGACCCACACGGACGTGGCGGCAAACGAAGCCAGGCTTCGCCACTCCTGCCACAACAATGTTAAGAAGCTGAACAAGGAAACAAAAAAACAAACACAAAAAGGCCAAATTTTGCGGGTTTTTAATGGAGCATTAATTGTCTGACTTAGCTACAAAACATCTTACGTATCTGAACATTTAGTTGGAAAGTATTTGATAAGTCTCGGCAACTAGCACCCTTAATAAACTGCATAATGTGACACAGTACTGGTTGTCATTTACTGGAACCTCTCTTAAAGGATTCCTTTATTTTGTGCACACCTTCACTCAAAGGACTCGACTTCGTCAAACTTTGGTACCAACTGAAAAAATTACCTTACAGCCCTTGTTTTATTAACTTTACCAAGGGTACTCTCCCAAGCAAGAGACATTTTTCTAGTCCTGAAGCAGGTTCTTCAAGCCGAAAAATTAAGGCTTACAACGTACAATACAGGAGTCTTGTACTCATAGAGGACTCAGTATGGAACATCAGCCACACAACGCACTTCTTTAACTAGGTAATTATAAATTATTGAGCAACGATTGTCCTTTAAGTCAGAGTTTCATGTACCATGGTCCAAAATGTTACCTGTAATGCACTCAGTTGTTTGATAGGGTGGACAGAAAATTAAATCGTGACACCAGAGGTTGTTGCAAAAACAACCATCACTCTTCCCCCACAACCAAGCTTTCTTAAAGATTCTTGACACTTAAGAGATGCAATCAGATCCCAGGCCACTAAGGGCATGACATACAATTGAAAATTTAAAGTCTCTGAACGCTCTTTAATCTATATTTATATAATTTCAAAGATTTTCTTGAGTTCGATCATAAGCTGCCAGTCGGATTTCTGTAGATCTTCTCTGAAGTACTCCTTCACAGCATCGATAGATTCCCGGCTTATCTGTAAGACATCGAGAAAAAAAGAGCATTTTAACGCACTGAACGCTATCGGCAGTCATGAAATAGAGATCGCAGCATCATGGAAACTTCAATTTTTTACGCTTCCGTCCAATAGTAATAAAATTGCGCAAAAAACTAGGGATAAATCCCAGTCGTGTGGGCCTACATCAGTGATCTATTCACAACAGCTGACATGTGCAGCTTAATGAACTTAAATTAACAGTTTTTCTTGATTTAGATGAGAGTCCAGAACACCCTTTGACCCTTTCTTCTTCAGGTGGAACCCTTAAAACCAGGGAATGTATGAGAATTGGGGCACGAAAAATCGCGGGATATAAAATACTTTTCTCTAACTCAAGTCTACCAGCTATCAGTGATCTCAAACTATCCGTTATCTATCAGTATCCCACATATAATCTAGCTAATATCTTATTTAACACAATTGCCAGTCGAGAAAATGTTTTACCAAACTCGCTCGGCCCTGATATAAATGTTCTTTCGATATCGTCTAAGGAACCCAAATTTTCTAAGATCTAGCTTCAAATGGGTTTTTTCGCCACATTACTTAATTCGATTTCAGTTGCTAACAAATTTGTAGACCAGTGTAAAATGGCAATCCTTATAAATTAGAGTTAATGTTTTGTTGAAAATAAATAATTAAAATAAAAGAAATAATGCAGATATTATAAAGCTAGGTAATCTCACCTTACTGACCAACAGGTCCGTGTGATCGAAATGCCGCCCATACATTTTGGGAGCCTCTCCTGGGGGCGACTCGATCTTGACACACACCTCCATTCCTTTACGAGCTTCAGTAAGTGGCTTGTGGTTTGCTTCAATACCAGTAAGGACACCGATGTCCAAAAACTACAGAAATATACACGTGTAAAGAAAAACAAAGATTAGCGCTGCCACACAACAGAATGACAAGGCGTCCAATAACAGGCTTGAAGTAATTTGCTCTTTGAATGCGCCATGTAGGTAGCTGGCTTTCGATCATCTACCCGAGTGAAACAAACTAATTGTTTCTCTCTAATTTAGAATTGTCAACTGAATGATTCGCTCTGGCGAAGGGCTAATGCTCGAAACGTCAGCTTTGAAACTCTTTACGGCGGCTAACTTACATTATTAACTCAGTTGATAATACAGAATTACCCTGTTATACTCTCCCACTGATGCAGCACAAAAAGCACTTCCAATACTACCTACTACAGGAGTTTCAATAGAAGCAAGTAACCGGTGGTCTGCTGCCGCCGAAAAGACCTCTTACCGCCGTTTGTTGAGCCTGCGAGCAGGCTCATGCGTTTGATTGTCGCCTAATGGCACAGCCGCCTATTGCATCATGGGTAGCCGCTTGAAGAAAAAAGTTAATGAAACCTCTACTGTACAATATATCGGACTTAAAACTGATGGCAAGTCATACACCGGTATGTTTCTTGCCTTAAGAGTTAGTTACGCTAATCATGGTTCGTTAAAACCTACCAGGTCTAAAAGAAGTACAAAGCATTTTAGCGCCTTACAACAACACTGACCTCTTTGCTTGGAATCGCTATTGGTGTCCCTTCCTTTATGACACCAGCCTCCACGACCACGCCGACGACAATCGGGCCACGAGAGTTGAAGATATGCTGTGGCATGATTCGAAGCTTACATGGAAACACTGCGATGTGTTTGAACTCTTCTCGCTTCTTTTGTTTTAGATCCTGGTGAAAGGCATTGAAAAACGCTTTCAAGCAACTGTAGAGCTTAAAACATACCTAGATAATTCAGCTACTATAGAACGCATTTTGATTGAATGTCATAGGTAAAACCAAACCAAAGTAATTACAACAGCCAATCAGAAGGAAGGAAAATAACTTAGAGAGCCAATGAAACTCAACGTAAAACCGATCCCCCAAAAGCGCGGGAAAACGCGGGCGACCAAGGTTTACAACTGATTGTTTGATAGAATGGCGCGAGTTTTCTGGACCAAACAAAGAGAAAAGTAAATCAATAACAAACCGATACCAGAATACTTTACACACTCAATTAAAGGAATCGCCGAGAAAGATATTACGATCACGGTCTGGTTTTCGAAGCTAATTTAAGTTTATCCTACGTTATTTCATTTTGCAACTCATTCTACGCTCTTCCAATGAACTTACTTTGGAAGGGTTCTGCCATCCTTCCTTCAGAAAGGTAACTTTTCTTTCAGAAAGGCGCTGTATTTATCTTACCTCTCTATAAGCTGTAAATTTATCAAACAAGTGATAAATGATGTCTGCGGAAAACACTCTCACGCCCAAATTGTCAGCCATTTCTTGTGCCTCTCTCTCTATCCGTACATCAAAGGCCAGGATCACAGCGTATCTAAGCAACGCAACAAACACGTGGTGTTTAGCAAATCACTAGCTGTAACACACGAACAAACACAAGCAAGACAAAACGAAAAAAAAAACATAAAATCTGTTGTTATTACTTAATCAATTGTTAATCTGACTTGTTGTAATATATATTTATAAACGAATGTCTAACACTACTGTAACCTTTTAAAGTGCAAACCCAGATGCAGACTGTTTGATCTACATGAGTGGTTGTGTGAGTCGAGCGAAGGGTTGAGAGAGGAAAATCTTAATTAGAGGAGGACGAGCAACCATGACGTAGATTTGCTGGATGAGATTGAAAGGAACTCACTGGCTATCGTGCTCCAACATGGTGGAACATTTCATGATGTCCTTCTTGTGAACTGGACCAATGTTCACTCCGGAGTACTGCAAAATAACAAAACTGCTTAACATCTTCTACTTATCATTAATGACTAATAATTTATCACAGCGAGATATACGACAAAAGTAACAATTGGAAACAAAATATTGCCTATTGCAAAAAATACTAAACGCATTTCAAAGAACAAGATCACATATCTAACAAAAATGAAAATCAGTATTGTACCAGATTCCTTCACGGGGCAGGAGAACCTTCTAAATTTGGTTCGCTTTCATTGTGAGGCTTCGTTGTTCAGTTGGTAATAGCGCCTGACTAGTTTCTGGGAGGCCTGGGTTCGAATCTTGTCGAAGTCTAAAATTTTTTTAGTGCTTTCTTTTTCTGCAATTGCTTAAATTGAAGCTTACTTGCAAGGATCATTGCTTTATTTGATAACGATACAAGTTACTTACGGGAATTTTTGATGTGCGCAGAAATTCAAGTAAGGCTTCCAAAGATCCTAACGTAGAGGCCTGTACATACACACCACGATCAGACAGCTTGATAGACTGTAGAGTGTCGCGTAGTATATTGGCCACTTCATTCTGATAACAATCAGAAAACAGAATCACAATAAGCCGTCAATAATAACAACTCAATGGACACGACACAATTTTAATTTGAATTGTCTTTAAAGACCGATTTTCACCGTGATCAAAGAGCTCACGTTGCCATTTTGAAGCTTATGTGGCCCCACAGTCAGCCTACATGCAAAGTACCCCTGCAAAAAGGCTGGATATTGCGAAACAGTACATAAACTAAATTCAAGAAAGACAATAGTCTCTTTCTACAGTTTCGTATTTTCACTTTACGTAATCAGACCTTTATCCCTTTGACCGCCAATATGTGATTGCTAATTCTCCTCTCTAGCTACTACACTTTTCCCTGTAAATTTGGTGTTGGATCAAGATAACAACTTCTACCTGATAAGCTTCAGTATTCTCATTACCTGATTCCTGGATGAAGTATGGATATTGTAGCAAGAAAATAAACTTCAGTCACATCTGGAGCAACGTGAAGTGAATACACTATGAGGGAAACGTCGAACAGAAAAAGGGGATTTTTGTATACTTTCACATCGCACAAAATCCATACACAAGAAATAAAAATTTCCCTTACCTTCCAATAATCCACCTCATCTGGTTGCTGGGCAACAAACAGTGGTATACCAGCTAGGGCCTTTTCCAGGTCCTTAGCAGCAATTTTAACTCCCTGGGCCCCCAACAGTTCCTTATTGTTAATATACTGGTTTTTGACCCGCAACTCTTTGAGGGGCTGAGGCGTGAGAAGGGCCCTAATTTGGGTCACAATGGGACCCTCAATTCCAGCCACAATAACTGTGTCCCCTTCTTTGAGTTTCCCATTCACCAGGATTAAATCTATGGTGGTACCGAGACCAGGCAGTGATTTGACCTAAAAACGCAAAACACATTATGCCGTGAGTTATATCCGGGGACTGGATTTGAAACCGAGCTTTATGCTCCTTGGCATAGAGCATTGTTAGGTTTAAAAGCTGATCTCGACGACAAAATTACCCTCCATTACTTTCTATTGGCAAAAGGAGAAGGATTTCATTTTACCGAAGGCCTTTCCCTTCAAAATTACAGACAGTGTCTGAAATTCTTCTCATTGGATAAAAGAAGGACCAAAACCAATCTTTCAAGGAATATTGTCGTCTGATGGAGCTTCAGGTCAGAGTTGATGCAGCTAAAGAGAAATAAGCTTGAATTTCTCAAGTTCATCAGTTCCAGTTTTCCTGGACCGTCCTCATCCTCTTTTCGTTGAGTCCTACCTTGTTAATTATCATTTGCAGGTTTCCTTCAAACGAGCGACAATTTACAACGAAGCAAAACAACAACGTGTAATATCACCATGTAGTTCTTTTAAACAGTTTTGCAATTATCTCTGAAGGTAAATCGCTCATCTGGTGGTAGCCTCCGATCACCGAATATCATAAAAACATGGGTTTGATCTCCTTCGACACCTAAAACTCTAGGTTTCAGCCTTTTCTAATCGATAGTCAAGTCACTTACCTCTAACACCATGCTCTCCATATCCTCTGAGTAGGAGAGCCTCTGTGCCAGTCTTGTTTGAGTAAGCTGCACCACTTGTGAGATGAGGTCTCCCATTCCATCTCCCGTGTGAGCTGATGTGGGTACGAGCGAAACGTACGAACGAGGGTCGGGATTGTTGTAGAACAAAGCTGCGTTCAAAGCCTGTGAAAAAGGAGGAAACATGGTGTTAGACAGGCAGGAACTCTTTAAATCCTTTGAGTGACCAAGACAGAATTTCTCCTTACAATATCTTTACAATATCAAGCAAACAGGGGATGAGAATAGAGAAAAATATAAATTAGGGGATTGTTAGTTGATCAAATGGCAAATTCTCCAAACCTACATCATAAGCATTGTGTGGCAGACAGTTGTGTGGCAGACACTACTGAAACGAGTAGTTGTAAATAGGACCTGAAAAAAATTCCAATTGAGCTAACAAGCCAACTGGGAGCTGGTCAACCAGCTCCCAGTTGGCTTGTTAGCTCAATTGGTAGAGCGCTGCACCGGTATCGCAGAGGTCATGGGTTCAAATCCCGTACGGGCCTGCCTATTTACAACTATCTTGTAGTGTTCTTAGCTGCGAGGAAAGGTGCAAATATGTGAATTTTCATATATCTAAAATCTTTACTAATGAGATCTTGGGAGTGAAAGGGTTACGGGCTAGGTCACTTCTCAAGTACGTCATTTGCAATCACGTCAATCTTTTACATTCTGTGCTACACTTACCACTTTTTGGTTTATTCTAATCTCTTGTTAGCGACTTCCTTACCACTTGACTATCTAAAGGTTTTATTAGATTGGCAAGTATGAAAATCACAAACCTGCTCAGAAAACTCTTTGATTACGATCTGCACACGTTCATCAAACTCTTGCTTGGTGTTCTTCTTCTGTTTCTTGATCGTGTCTACGATGCCAGAATTAGGTCCTCGCTTCCATTCGAACAGCCTGTCAACCTTTAAAACGATAAAGTTTTGTTTTTCATTCACAATTAAAAATCCGTCCCCATTCAATCGTCTTGAAGTTGCTAGTACCTGTATGTGGTACAAAGCAATCCCACGTCCTCGCCAACACTTCCTTCGACCTCTTTTTCGAAACGTTCTCTATACAGCCAGGGATGCTTCACAATACGCTATGGGCTTCAAATTTGAAAACAGATAACCAACTAAAATGTCGTACCTTATTCAGCGCCACAACAAAAGGAGTCTTCCTCTTCTTCAACAGGTTGAGTGACTCGATGGTTTGCGGTTCCAAGCCGTGCATGATGTCTACCACTAAAATGGCCATATCACACAGTGATGAACCTCGGGAACGTAAATTACTGCAATACAGAACCAGACACACCATGAAGATTTAACCCTTTAAACCCTAGGGTCAGTATGCATATTTTCTATACTTTTCTCAGTACAAAATTTAAGGTTCTGACAAGGATAATTTGTCTAACAATCAAGAGCTTCCTTAGTTGGTGATCATTTCTTTTATTCTCATAACCTTAATGTGTGATTCAGGGGTGATATTGTAAGGAGAAATTAGATGCCAGTCACTCTTTGGGATCTAAGGGTTAGAGGTTATCGGGTTCACGCGTTCAAATTTCAATTCCTTTTTCCTTTTTTACGTTATGTAACAGCTTTTTCAATGAAGTTTAACGATCAGGATCAATTCCGCACTTGCAATCCTGTCTGTTAACTATTTGTGATCAAATCACACGTCATTAATCGTGCTGAGAGAACTGTCTTACCTGAAAGACTCGTGCCCTGGTGTGTCGATGATAAGAAGACCAGGAAGCTTAATGTCAAAAGACTGGAACTGAAACAAGAAATAAGAACAACGTTTTTTCATGAAGCTAGAAAGATCAATTTACTTCCATCACTTAGTTTGTCAAGACACGACATCTACTTCGCACCTCGAAAAAACAGAAATCACGTCATTTTCACTTTTTCAACGCAAGTACAATTTAGAATTGACCTGAAAAACAGTTAAACCAATATATCTTTCGCTATTCGAGCCTCTTCTGATGTTAACTGTGTGCAAAAGAAGCGATGTCCAGTTCTCCACGGTTTGTAGCCTCGGCGCTTAGAATTTCCCACAAGTGAATCTGGGCAACAAAAGAAATAACAGCTGCAGAAAAATGACCCTCATAATTGCATGCAAGGTTCTTATGACGAGGACCAACGTTCGATGAATAATATAACACATTCATTTCTTACGTCTTTAATCATCTTCGTCTGCTCTCTAATGGCGTCTACAGGGACCATAGTAGCACCGATCTGTTGCGTGATCCCACCCGCCTCTCCGTCTTGGACATGGGTGTGACGAATCTACAAACACAAAATATTAATTCAGTTAACACTCTATCAGGACTCCCGTCCACAGCTTTGTTTCTTGAGAATCTCCTAACGACCCAGCCTCTCCCTCCTCTTCAACGAAGTCGTGAGTTTTGCTGTTCATATAAAATTGATAGCACTTCAGTTCAAGATATTCTTGTATTTGAAAGCTTTCTCTATATCAACTTCCCTCTGAAATATTGCACGGAAATGTAAACTGTGCATATTAAATCTGAGCGACAATCAGAGGAAAAGTAATAACTTGCGTTTCCGCTCTTAAAAGTGAGTTTCAGATGAGCTCCCGACCCCCTTGCTAGCCCCCTCCTATATCCACCCACCCCCCCCCCCCCCTCTTCTTACCCTTTCTTGCGCTTTAGTTGTTCCAGGATCACTGGAAAGAGGCACAGGCAGGGAGGGGTGGAAAGTGGATCTATGCCTGAATTGGGTAATTTACCTTATCTAAAATCTTTGTTTTTCCGGTGTCCACATGCCCTAGTACACAGATAACAGGAGATCGCAAGTTGTCCGTGCTGCGGTTGGCTTCTGCTCTCACATGCCTTTTCTGAAAACAAAAAAAATAACACATCATCAAAATACATTTTTCTCAGACGCAAGATTATCATAAATGTTTGTAATTCTTTCGATCTTCCTCTGGTAATTTAAGTAAAGAAATCCCACCTGTATTCTTTCCCATACAGTCTCTGTTTTGCTTTCCTCGTCGTCCGACTCTTCTTCGCTGTCACTGTCATCGTCATTTTCCTCAGAGTCACTTTCTTCTTCACTTTCCTCACTCTCCTCAGATTCTTCTTCACTCTCAGCAGCTACATCTGTGGGCTCTTTGACTTCCACCTTCAAAAAGACCGTCGGACAATTATAACAGATTAAGAAAGGCCTCGCTGTTGATTGGACTGTAATAAATTAAACTGGCCTCTTCAAACTTTTCTAGTATTCTGCTAACGTCCCAAGTGTCCGGTAAACCGACAAATAGTTTTTTCTATTGTTTTATAAAAATTGCTCTAGGTTTATTGCCACAATTTACAACAGGTGTTCAACCAATTAGAGTGAGCATTTTGGTTCTTTAGAACACGTTATAATGTTGGTAAATCACTGTTATCCTGACAATGTTATGTTACGTACAAAGTATAGGCGCCTCTTACAAAAAGACGAATAGAATAGTTATGTACCTGAACGGTGTCGGCTGGTTTGGCACTAGAATCTACAATAAAAAAGGCCTTTGTTGAGATTACTGCATTTTATAATTAATAACGAATATAAACACCACAAACACAACAGGACCGTAAAGAACTACTATGAAAAATAGTTACAGCCATCTACAGTGGTATGTTGTGTGTGACACATTTGCTGCAGCACGAGTTGAGTTATTCGCGGGCGAATAAAAAACAATCAGTGCAAGACCCCAACCAGCTCGCGCTTCTCAAAGCTTCAAACTTCGCTCGTTCTGAAGCGCTTCTGATGAGAGCCTGCCTCCTATAAATGTTCATTACGTCTGATATCACAAACGACAGACCACAAATGAGAATTAAGAACTAAGGGTTACCACAAAACTGGAAAAAGGAGGAAGGAAATTTATACCAGACGAAAGTACAGAAAATCGCAGACCTTTACCAGCAGTGCTTTCCTCTGTTTCTTCATCAGAATCAACATCCCAGGAATCCTTAACCTACAGAACAAACAAAAGTTTACCAGAAAACTAACAGTGAGTCACATTTTGCAAAGAAAGACTTTCAGCTTCCAGGGCTAATTAGACTATGCTTACAAGACTTGAATTTAAGATTTAACCCTGTAACTCCTATAGGCCATGATATAATTTTTTCCTTACCACAATACCAAGCAGACAAGAGATAGGAATTTAGAAAAAATTTCGATAAGGGGATTATTAGTTGATCCAATAACAAATTCTCCAAACTGACTTACCTCATCTTCTTCCTCATCTTCTTCATCTTCCTCTTCTTTGTCTTCTTCTTGTTCATCGTTTTCAGCGTCATCATCCTGCAGCTCTGAAGAGGATACAATGAAAAAAAAAAACTGTACATTCTTGAACTTAAAGATTCCCTATGCATCTATTTAGCAAAAAAAGAAAAATTTTCATATTTACTATTAGTCATTCATACCATCAGATTTCTTGTCTTCCTCCCCAACAGCTGCCCTTTCAGTTGTTTCTGGTTTGGGGTGAAATGTAATCACACAAAGTTATGATATGATTCATTATTATTTTTTTTTGTTAATAAAGTCTTCAATTGGTCAAGTTTTGTTATTGTCTGTCCGAGTTTAGGTCAAAAATCTGTGGCTTGTACATGGCTTGTATGTGAATAGATTACCTTAAGAACTGCATCGCAGCCCTTTTAAAATAAATTTCAAACACAAAATTATTTTCCTAACCAATATCCTCGGCCTCAGCCTGCACTGTTTCTTCCTGATCTTGTTCTTGTTGCTGCTGTGGTTGCTGTTTCTTTGGTTTTTTTGTGCCATACCTCACTGGTTTCCTCACTCCATCCTGCTCTTGTTGATTCAGGGCCGGAATGTTGATTAGACCTACAATTACAAAAGATGTTCAAAGTGAGCATCATTTCCTTGACTCCTTTGCTTGAGAATTCACTCTGCTCAGGGTTAACTAAAACCAACTTGCTTTATCACTTAGGTACCTTGTTTTTTCATTGAATCTAACATGGCTTGAGCTTGTGCTCGCTGTTGCCTCTGTGATTTAGTGAGGAGTTTTCCTTCCTTTTTAAGCCTCTCTTTCTTCTCCTGCAAATTGCCATTAATAACAAAATTTGTGCCAGTGGAATTGGTGCATAAACTAGTAAAACATGGAAAGGTAGTAGTGACCATGTGCAACCACTGTATTCAGAGTATGATTATGTTTTTCAATTCAAGGTTGAATAATATGCTTTCACTCTTTGATTCCCAAAAGTGATTAACATGTAACTTCTCCTTATAATATCCATTCAATATCCAGCTAACAGGTAATGAGAATTCCCAAACTTATCAGGTAGAAGTTGTTATCTTGATCTAACACTAAATTCTTGTAACTAGATCACAAGGAAATGTAGCAGCTAGAGGGGAGAATTAACAATCAGATCTTGGAAGTTTTAAGGGTTAAGTTCTGGGTTTGTAATGATGAAAAGCACACCTATGTACCTTCTCTTTCTGTTTTTTCTTCTCTTTCCTTTCCTGTTCAAGTCTTAACTGTACAAAAAAATATATTAATAACAAATCAGTAAGTAAGTAATGATCAATAAGCAAAAACTCAAGTCAGGCCAATCATTAACTCAAAGTTATCCATGTATATTTTGCACACACAAAAAAAAACCATCGCAGGAAATGACAGACAGTTAATCAATTGGTTTAATAGTAAAAGACATGATACCTTCTCAAGTCTCCTGTTCTCTGCCTCTTCAAGAGCTCTTTGTTTCTCTTCCTCTTCCTGTTTCCTTCTTTCTTCCTCAGCCTTGAGCTTCTCCAGCTGCTCCTGCATCTGTTTCACCAAGGCCTTGTTTGGCTTCTTCACTTTCTTCTCTTCTTTCTCTCCTTTTTTCTTCTTTTTCTTTTTCTTTTTATCTTTTTCCTCTCCATCCTCTTCACCTTCTTGGTCTTCGGTCTTGTCTTCCAGGTTATCAGGTGCTGTCTTGTCAGCTTCCATGTCACCCGCACCTTATGAAAGAAATGAATTAAAAAAATAATAACAACAAATAAAAAATCTTCTGCAGAAGAAGCAGTTTAGTAACAAGTTACAAGTTATAGCACTGAATAACAAAGGCACATGAATCGCACATTTTTTCCGACCGTATGTGCAAAAATATAGTACATACGTGTCTGACTACCCTGCATCGGAGCGCATGAAATTCGTCTGTGTAGTTAATGTATACACGAGCAGTACTGTACATACTTTAAAACAATTGTGAACCATGGGGTCTCATAGGGTAGTTTTCAGTTGAGCTTTGTCAAACCAAAATCAAAGTAATTGCAATAGCAAATTGAAGTGAAGATCAACATCATTGTTAACCAATGAAAACTCAAAGTAAAATGAGGCAAACTGCATGAAATGCTTCTACAATTGAAGTTGAATTACAGTAACTACAACATGTTCTGATTCTGTACCTTCTCCCTTATCTTCATTGCTGGTTTCAGCTTGGGTCTCACCAGTCCCTTCTCCACTCTTGTCATCCTCCTTGGTTTCTCCTTTACTTGCCTCTTTTGTAGCTTTTGCTTTTGCCTTGGCTTTTTCAGCTTCTTTTTTCTTTTTCTCCCTTTCTTTCTTTTCAGCTCTTTTTTGTGCAGCTGTTTTTATTATAGCACCAGATTCATCAGGATTAGTGTCAGGTTTCGGAGCTGCAGTATCTTGCTTTGGAACAGGTTTCACTTCGTCATCTCCAGAATCTTCCTCCAAATCAAAGTCAAAATCCTTTTTGTCTTTCTTTTTCTTCTTGGACTTTTTAGATGTGGTGACATTAGGTTCATCTAAAATCTCATTATCATTATTTGTCTCCAAAGTATCATTTTCACTTTTGCCATCGTCCTTGGAAGCAATTTGTTCAATTTCTGTTTCAGTTTCATCTTGTTTCTTTTTTTTGTCTTTCTTATTTTTCTTTGAACTTGTCACTGTTTCCAATTCATCGTCATTTCCATCAGCTTCCATGACCTCATCATCTTCAATATCAAGACCTTGAAACCTACCACCAGCATTTTTGTTTCCCTAAGAAAACACACAAGTTACAAATCAAACTAACAAATAGGTTTTACATTGCCATGCATCAGTTCAGTAATAGATCACAGATGGCGTCAAAATGAAGAACGGCAAAGTAGTGCATAAGGTGTAGCTGAAAGTGTCACTAATGTTCTTACCATATTTTGAAAGCATCTGTGATTTATTACTGAACAGACCCACAGCAACATGGAATCTATTTCTTTTATAATCACAACCATTAAAATTTCCTCAAATGTGATTGGTGCATTAGCTGCTTTATTTTTTACTAATCATTCTGTAGAGCTGTAATCAGACTGTGTAATCACACAGTTGGCTGTAATCAGACAGTTGAAGTAGCCAATCATACTAAGTCCACTCAGCCAAATTCACTATTCACAGAATTAATCACAACAACTATATAAGCAACAACTAATAATCCTCAAAAAAATTGTGGAATTTCCAAAATAGAGAATTATTTTTACTCAGGACATTGTCTCTACCAGAGAAATTTGACCAAAATGTATTTGTTGTTTTCCGAAATTGTAATGGTTATAACTAATTAGTAACAGGACTTCTAGTTGTCCAGTTCTGTCTGTAATCATACTTGTGATTGACAAATTTGACTCCCACATTGTTGTCATCCAATTTTGTTAATCACTCTTATGATTACAGACTGAATTGGACCCCACTTGGTCATATTACCATCATGTAATAAAGAAGCAAAAAAATGTTAATGATGATGTCTTTCATGCAGCTATTTTCCAATAGATTATAAGGACCAATCAAAATGAGTGCATAATTCTGCATATTATAGAAAGTCTTGTAACAACCATTCCAAAGTAAAATTACAAACAAGCCACAAATTACTCACTGCATTGTGAGACATGGACAATCCATATTTGGGTTATAACTGTTTATTTCAAATGAAAGTTGTACTTTTCAAAAGAATGTTTTAAAAAATAGAAACAGATTGCCATTTAATTAAAGCATCTTACCTTAGGTTCACTTGCGCCATTTTCCTTGTCTAGTCCGTCCTCCTTTAATGATTCAAGATCATTGAGCACATCATCCTCCCTGAAAATGGTAGTTTTTTAGCTCAGTTGGTAGAGCACTGCACTATTGTTGCAGAGGTCATGGGTTCAAATTCAATACAGGTCTGCCTTTTTTTCAGGCCTTATTTTCACTACTGCTTAAGTTGTGTTCATAACTGTGAAGATTGCTTGCAGATTCATTTCTTAAACTGCAGTTCACACATATGATTTTCATATATTTACAGTCATAGATACTGGTCTTTATCAAAACATGGTCACCTTCAGCCTCACTCCAAATTAAAGGCATGGCAACTGAGTACACAGCTGTAAAATGTCTTATTCTGATGATTTTGGTTCAGATAATTTAGTAATAAATCAATTAGTTGATAATTTTCCTTATTCTTGTCACTTGTCTGCTTGAATTCATATTGATGCTGTAAGGAGAAATTCTGTCTCGGTCACTCATGGTAGTTTAAAGGTTAATTGATAGCCAACTAATAATAGTTAGCATATAGTCAATAGAAATTAGACCAATCATCAGCTGATGTCTTCATGTCCCAATCATGAACTGATATCTGTCTAGGTCGCGAAACTATCAGAATAATTTGATGTTTCAGATGTTATTGAAAAGCAAAGGCAATATACAATAATCACTCTGAAACACGTGACAAAAAGTACATCAAGTAATAAATTACTTAAGTTATTCTTACCAATCAGCGTCCTTCTTTTTCCCTTTCTTTGGCTTCCCCATCCTTATCTTGCTTCACTTGCCGCACGTTTTCGTAGATTAAACTATCTACCAAATCATGTGGGGAATAATTCACAACACAGGAAGCAAGTCAAAAAGATGACTGGCGCTATCTCTTTGTTTGTGATTCAGATATTCTATCGATTTCTGCCGTTTCTTTAAGTTGCATAGGCAAAAACGTCATTTAAAACCAAATTCCAAAATAAATTTAGGATAAAGAGCTCAAATGGAGTTGGATCTGAACCGTAAAACTACTAAACTTTAAAATAGAATCCACGAAAAAAGTTATTGCATGTGAATTTGTAAGTTCGTCGTAATCTTCTTCCCCAGTCCATCCCTCGGAAGTCAAATGAAATCCCAGAGTTCCTCACTCGCTGAGTCAGCCGAGAAGCACACATGACATAGTATCATGGATGTCGAGGTTCCTGGAAGAGGGATCGGACTTTTACCAAGCCCGTTGAGTTCAAATTAGCCACATTTTCCCCTTAGCGAGAAATATTCTTTATGTCGAACAAAGAAAAGTACTCATCGGATGGTAAGGGCCGCCGTAACGAGTCCAGGTAGGGATATTTTTGCTTGCATCTTCGTCGATAGCTGATTTGATGGCAATGCCCCTCTTTAATACGCCGGTTTACTTGGGGTGATTTGTCATCGGCATGTGTCTTAGTAGTGTACAATTTTGGGCTTGTTAGTGCACTTTTAAATGCACTCTTTTCTTGTCCAGGAACTGTAGCCAAGATAACGTTGGTGATGACAGCGCAGACATGTAAGTTGTACAATCCTGTACTTGTGAAAATCTAATTTATATTACAAGCTTCGATTGAACGCCAAATATGATATTTCAGTGTGTAATTTTATGTGTTGTAAATCCTACTTGTAACGCGTTAGTAGGCAGAGTATTTTGTCTAAACTAAATGCTGATCAGTCTCCCTTTTCACGTGAAACTAAGATCATGTTAGTGGTGTTATTGGCAACTCAAACTTAAAGGCACCAATTCTTTTTATCGTCTTGGCAACACCATGCTACCTCAACGTGGATTTTTATGCTATTATTTAATGTGGTGTAATGCTCATTAGTTCAAACACTTTCGATTTCTTGTATGAGGACCTTCTTTGTTCTGATTTGCGTGTTAATCTGGCTTTCATTGCGTGGGGGCGAGAAAAATTACTCTTGCCATGTGGTGTTTTGAATTTGTTGGACACCATTGATGACGAATTATTTATTGTGTAGAGCGATTGTGGTGTTAATAGCACAGCTACGATGTGAATTATGTAAATCAGTTCGATTTTATTCGTGCACATGGAGTTAAGATAATCTAAGCTTAAAATTACATAGGACGCTCTTGCAATAATTTAAATTTTGGCTAATTATTCATAGAATTTATGTACATGTAACAGATACAGATGCTACTGATGCTTTAATGGTTTTCTTTTGAGGGAGAGAGGAGGGGGGGGAAGTTCTATTTTCCTCATGCTTTTAAAGGATCATATTCAGAGTTTCCTCTTTAACCCTATAACTCCCAGAATGGGTTAATCTGTAGTTTCTACTTATGATATCCATAATTGTGCAGCAAACAAGAGAATACTCAAACTTATCAGGTAGCAGGTTCCAAGATCTATTTTTAAAATGTTACTTATTGGTGACCTTCATTGTGAAATGGTTGCCATTGAAAATTTTGGTCACTTCACACCCCTCCCCTCCCCCCTTCCCTCTATGGTCACCAAAACAGTCACAAGTTGGAGCACTGTGTAGAAGTAGTTCTCCTGATTTTACACCAAATTTCCAAGGTAATGGGTAGTAGCTTGAGAAGATATTTAACACTCAGATCTTGGCATTTAACGTAGAAACATGTCTCACTATTATTGGTTTCATCCATTTTCTTTGCAAATGGCTGCAAATTAAAAAAAGTAGAAATCAGCATTATATTAGTCTCAGTCTTCATGCATTGTCTTCACCCTCCAACTCCCATTGGTGACCAAGACAGAATTTCTCCTTACCATATTAAAACAATATCAACCAGACAAGTAATCAGAATAAAGAAAAGATATCAATTAGGGGATTGGTTGTTGATCCAATACCAAATTCTCCAAACTAACATCATAGAAATTGTATGGCAGACAGTAAGGAGAATTACTGATGGGATCTTGGATCATGTGCTTGACTGCTTAGAGAAGTCTTTGTATCCTAATCAAACTTTTAACTACCTTTGCCAAAACATTATTAATTGAGAACTGAAGAAATGGTGGGACTTTATTTTTCTACTTTTTTTTACATCAGTTAAATTTTTTTGGCTGAGATGATGTAATTTGATGCATAACCTTGAGTCTGAGAAGTGAAATGATTATTTGGAAAAAGCATTGAAAGATAAGTCTTTAATTTTGCTCCCAAAAAAGTGTACAAACCCTATACATTTGAAGGAAAACTTATGTGTTCCTATACAGAAATATGAAACAAAATTATGATTGAATCTGTATTTCACTGGTTACATCCAGGCATAAGGAAAAAAATAATAGGGAAATAGAGAGCATTTAGGTAAATGCCTTGGCTATTGCATTGCATCATGGGTTACTGGCAATATATTATTTGCAGTGATGTACATTTGCAGTGGCATGTATCATTTATCTTTTTGCAGGAAGCGAGCTGCCGAGCAGAAGATAAAGAACTATTTTTTCCAGCTGACAGATGGTTGTGGCTCCCATGAATGTAAAAATGAGTACTGTGCATCCAGTGGAAGAAAGCAAACCTCCAAGGATGATGCCGCAGCTTTGGCGTTACAGTTATTCATGAAGAAGGCCCGTCTCTGTGAACCTCTGCAAGATAAAAATCACAAAGGTATGATTATACAGTGATTCGGTAAGATTTTAAGGTTTTCAAGAAAGTTCAAGACTTAGTTTATTATCAATTTGGTACTGATGGAATTAAATAAAACCACATAAACTAATTTTAGAAAGTACAGTTGTACATACTTTGACAATGAAGCCCTTAATTGTTAAACAAATCAAATTAAATTATGATGTTTATTATGTACAAAATAAGATGAAAGGAAACTTTGGAGGTTGTCCTTATTGTGGATGTTCTCTGTATAACATAGGAAAAATAGGAAATAAACTACAGTGTGATAAAATAAAATTGTAAGAACTAGCAAGAGTTTAGCTTACTTTCAGCAAAGGCAAACAAATCAGAAACAACCAAATTTTTTTTTCTTAAGGTTGAAAGTGTCAGCTTTTCAGAATTGTTTAAGGCTTTTAATTTACTTTTACCAACATGTAGTTGATATTCAGTGAAGTGTTTCACTTGCCAGAGGGTGCAACAAAACATCTTAGACTTTCAAAACTTTCTTCATTTATTTGTGCTTTATCTTGCTTTTCCTTGGCATCATTAAATAACTTATGTGGTATCACATAATTTTGTAAGAGTTCGTGTCATGACATCATTGATATTTGTTACTCTTTTCCCTCATTTTTATCTAAGGAAAGTTTTTTTGTGACATTAATGAAATATTGTTGCATGGCAACAGCTGTTAGCCTAAGGTAACTATTAATTTAGTTTTTGATGAGTAGGGGAATTATGATATGTAAGCATTGGAGGAAGTAGTAGGGCATTTAACATTACTTCTACTGACTGATCATTTGGCATTGTTTATGATTGTTAGTTCCAACACAGGAGGCACCATTTCTCACAGAAAAATCAGTTTTGAAAAACCTTGACTCATTTGCGGAAGAGGGAAGCTACAAGAAGCTTGTACACAACATTGGCATAGTGTTTTCTAGTTCTGAATCACTGAACAAAAGTTTCCTGTTAGATTCAGCAAGTAGACAAAACTCAGGGACCAATGTTGACATAGAGGCTGTTCGGCGTATGTATGCAGCCCTGTTTCAAACAGGAGATTCCTCTGTGGAGAACTCATTAATAAATTCCCTGGTTGCCTTATCCCCAACTCTGGAAGTGGAAATGCGATTCAAGTCACCAAGCAATGATCCAAACTTCTTGAATCAATTTGTGATTATCATGGAAAACACCATGTTACAGAGTCCAGAATATTTAGATCAAGCTCTTCCTAGTTTTCTGAAGGCCATGGCGTTACTGTCTGCTAAACAACAAGCAAACTTAGTGCATATCTGGTCACAGTTTTCAAGTCAGGAAATTCGACGAATGGTTGAAACACTTCAGCAGCTTGTGACATATCAAGTTTTAACAGGACCTTGTGCTACAAGCACTGCACCAGTACAAGAGGATGATGCAATAGTAGCAGCAACCAAAGTCATGAAACTTCTGTATTATGCAAGTGTAATGGGTGGAATCTTTGATCAAACTTGCTTAAGCAACAGCCATGATGGAGCAACAGGAGGTGATAATGAAGAGGACCCTCTAGTTAAGGAATTGAAAATTGATGTACAAGACTGTCGCCAACCATTAGTTAAATACCAAGAGTTTGTTAATGATCCGTTAAATGACCAAATTGAAGTAGATCGTGATTATACCTACTACAAACATGAGAAGGGGACGAAGTTTTCCTTTCTAAAGTACAACTTCATCCTTTCTACGGTTACAAAGAGCATGGGTTTGTTTTATGATAATCGGATACGCATGTACAGTGAGAGACGGCTGACTATTCTTTACAGTCTTGTGAGAGGAGAGCAGGGAACACCATACCTAAAACTCAAAGTTCGACGAGATCACCTCATTGAAGATGCTCTTGTTAACGTAAGTACATGTATTGTATTTATTCAATTAAGCCCTCAACCTTGAAAAGGCACCCACTTCAAACAAGAGCCCACTCTGAAGATACAGTGTAGTCCCATAAGCACCCAGCCTTGAATAACGCATTGTTTAGCCAGGGAGCAGGGTTTTGTGTTTGGGTTTTGCCTTACTGCCCCTTTACTGCACATGGCTACCTATTACATCATCAGCAACAGCTTATGTAAATGTTATTGAAATCTCTGCAGGCTCTTACACAATCTATGTAACTCAGTCCTTGTGTGGAGGTAGGCCACTGAAACAGTTTCAAAGCTGACATCAGAGCGAGAGATGAAGGGCTAACACTCGAAACATTAGCTTTGAAACTCTTTATGGTGGCTTATTTATTTTTACTTTTCAACTCAGTTGTTCATACTAAATTATCCTGTTATACTCTCCCATCAACCAGCACCACACTTTCTTCTTGTGTGCAGACTTTGATTAGGTACACATACATATGAACTACACTGTTACAAAGTATCTTTTTTCGTCAAACAGCTTGAGATGACTTCACAAGATAACCCAGGTGATCTCAAGAAGCAGTTGTATGTTGAGTTTGAGGGAGAGCAGGGAATTGATGAAGGAGGAGTGTCTAAAGAATTCTTTCAGTTGGTTGTTGAGCAAATATTCAACCCAGATTATGGTAAATATAATTTTTATGATTTTATTCTCTGACTTTTAACAGCACCTTTGTGTTTCTGAATCTACTTTTATGAGAGTAATACAGTGATTAAGTGTGAAAAGTGAGACTTTGGGTTGCTGTACTCAAACAGAAGAGGTATGAATCTTTTACAATTTTCTGTTATCTAATGGCTACAGCTTCATTAGACTCCACAGCAAGAATTTTATCACTGTATTCAAACAAAAAATCCACCATATCAGTTTATGTATATGTACAGCTGTAGCTTATTATGATCTCCTTCTGCATACATCATACACCTTTTTTTAGGTCTCCAGGAAGTAAGCATTGATGGGACTGGTTAAATTGTGAATGGGTGCAAATAGACTTTTCTTCAAAAGTGCCTGTATTTCCTGCAGTAAAATGATTTCCACAATCCCTTAACTATATTTGCAATAGAGTTATATAGGAGGATGACAAAATCTTCACTTACTGGTAACTGTAATGTGGTGAACCACTTACATGTCAATTCCTACAATGTACAAAATCATTTACAATAAGCTTTGAAATTAGTTGACACATTGTGTTTGAAGGGTTCTTTTTTGTGGGTAGAGTAGTGCTATCATTAACAAGATCCCCCCCCCCCCTCCTCCTGTTCAGTGTTGTCTGCTTGTAGCTAAAAGATCGCAGAACTGCAACACTACATTCTTTAGGAGGGGAGGGGTGCAAATAAATTGCAGGTTATATTAGTCAGGACAAAAGAGATAAAAGTAAAGTAGAAGGGTGTTGAAAGGTCAATGTGTCAACAATTTTGTTGCCGATTGTGCATAAGTTTATTTATGTATTGATGATGTTTATAACCTTTTCAGGGATGTTCACTTTTGATGAGGCCACACAGTACTGCTGGTTCAATCTGAATTCATTTGAGACAGATAGCCAGTTCTTTTTGATTGGTTTGGTCCTGGGCCTGGCAATCTACAACAACGTCATTTTGGATGTGCACTTCCCAATGGTTGTGTACAGAAAGCTTTTTGGCAAGAAAGGGACTTTTGAAGACCTCAAGGTTTCACATGCGGTATGTTCCATAGTAAAATTAATTATCACCTCCTGATGGTGAGTGCACTTGCTTGCCCCAACTTTTTCACACCTTCTATAATGGCACATACATTTTAAATAATTTGCAGGGCCTTGCTGCTGGTCTCCAGAACATGCTTGATTACAAGGGTGATGTTGAAAGTGACTTCATGTGTACTTTCACCATCGGCTACACAGACATGTTTGGCATGTCAGTGACCAAGGAGCTGAAGGAAAATGGAGCAGAAATCAGTGTTACCAATCAAAATAGACAGGTAAATGGAAATTGATATTGAAGCTATTTGTGTGCTTTTGCCACTTTTTATTGTTAAAAGTTGCACTTTCCCCTAAATGTACCATAATATACCGCTACTCACGTATTTGTTAGCTGGCACTTCTCGTTTGTTGTCCTCCAGTCGCCTCTCCCTTTAGAACTTAAGCTAGCTCATAACTAAACTAAAATTATTCTTCACTCAAGGAGTATAATTTTATTTAATATTGTGAATTAAAAAATGACAAGATAGAGATTTGATCATAACATGAATACCATAGTGTAACATTAACTTCTTGATACTGTTTAACATTATCAGGAGTTTGTGGATTTGTATGCTGATTTTATCCTGAACAAGTCAGTTGATAGGCAGGTAAAAACAAAACTGTTCTATTGTTATTGACAATGATTTCTTCACAATTTCAAACAGTTTGTGCCCTCTGTTTCTTTTAATAGGACAGTGTTGCTGTTATGCTATTTACCGTGTATAACTTTTATTATTGGTTTTGTTTTGCCCGCGCTCATTTGCATCACAGTGCACATTACGTCAATACTCTAAAAGAGAAGGGAAAATGTAAAACTGAGGTTAAACTAGAATCTCTATGTACACAGGCTGTCTTCCTATGACCTCTTCCGGGCAATCTTTCTGTCACCTTCTCTATAAAATTACAGGTGAATAAACTTGTTAATGAAAAAGCCAGCAATCACACAGTCATATCAGCAACAAAAAACTATGTTGGTTTCTACATCCTTTTGGGAAACTTTCTTTCTCTGTTTTGAGAGAGATAATTTGGTAAAACAGTGCAGAGATTATAGGTGTAAATAGTAAGAAGGTGCATCTGTGCTGTTTTAATTTTTGTTTTGTTTTGTTTTGTTTTTTTTTTTGACAGTTCAAAGCGTTTCGACGTGGTTTTGATTTGGTGGTGAGTGAGTCACCTTTAAAGACATTCTTTCGTCCGGATGAGGTGGAGCTGTTAGTTTCCGGTTGCCAGGTAACAACTTTGAATGTTATCGTTACGAACATCGCTTGGCTGTTAGGCTAGAAGTTAGGGAAATTTGGAGCAGCTCCCTGAAAAAACCTGTCGGCTGACCGTCGGTCAACTGTTGGTCGACTAAAGGGCATTTCTATTGAATGTGTATAACCAAAACCGAAGTTATGCCAGTGGCTGGGGAAAAGGATATTATGATAAGGAGCATCTGGAAATTCCTTGTAAAATGAAGCAGGCTGAAGGCCTGAACTGCGGGGAAAAAATGAGTAACCAAATCGCAATCGGTTGTTCTATCAGCTACTGGAAATTTCGGTTCAATTGAAAAATTTACCAGTATAGAAGTTCAGTTATTATTGGTTTAAGTATGCATTTGTTCCTTTTTTGCCCTTCAGGATTTCGACTTTGATGCACTTGAGAAGTCTACCGAGTATGACAATGGTCTTTCTGAAGGCTCAACTGTAATCAGGTACAAGCATCGATTTTTTTACCACGCGAGGAAAATAATCCTGAGATAAGATTAAAGGAATATGTAAACGTTGACTGCTAACTCATCTAGTAACTTTAAAAAAGAAGTTTGCGATGTTATTTACGATGGATTGCAAATCTAACGTGCTGAAGATCTACTTGAGATATTAGAGTCGGGAACTACATGGCAATTTTTTAACAGCACAAACAATCATGACCCGATCACGACTTGAGGGCGACAGATTCATGAACATTTTATAATTTTTCTTCGTAAAACTTACATCCTCCTCCGAGGCCGTCGTTTGTGCCTTTCATGCAGCTGTCCCGTGGAAAGGAGAGTTGCATAAGGAGTGCAGTTGACGGCTTCGAAAGAGGCGGTGGACCTTGAGTGATGCTTGTATGATCTGACCGTAGATGGTTCTGGCAAGTGGTACACGAGTTCACTTTGGAGCAGAAGAAGCAGCTGCTGATGTTCACAACAGGAAGCGATAGGATCCCCGTCGGTGGCTTCTCCAAACTGAAACTTGTTATCGCCAAGAATGGCCCCGACTCGGACAGGTATAAACTGTGACTGTAATGGGGTGCCTATGTTTGGCTTACTACCAAGAAATATTGAAATAATGATCCTTCAGGACCCAAAATGATCTTTGCTATTTTCTTTGCCCCTACTAACGGGAATGTCTTGGAATTTCCACATTTTTCTTTTCGAACGAAGGAGGCTGCTAAGAACGGCTTGAAAGTGAATTAATTTTACCTACGGTGGCCTATTGTTAAGCCTTCAGAACTGCGTACCAGAGGCAACCAAGGTTGGGCCTGGACAGCTCCACCGTTTTGTGCTCTTCGGTAACTCACCGAATTCTCACAGTGCCTCTCCCTCCCCCCGGTAATATATATGGATGCCGACAAACTGCCAGTATTATCAGAGGAAATTCCGTGAGAGGCGGGTAGCCTGTTGTTGTTGTTGCTTTGGTTTCTCACGGTCTTGTTTTCTGTTTTCCTCGACAGACTTCCAACCGCGCACACGTGTTTTAATGTGCTCCTTCTCCCGGAATACTCAAGCAAGGAAAAGCTTAAAGAAAGGCTGCTGAAAGCCATTACTCACGCTAAGGGCTTTGGTCTTCTGTAGTTAAATCACTTAACCCTTTAACTTCCAGAAATGTCCAACATCTAACTTCTTCCTTTAATAACTGTACATTTTCCAGCAAACAGGCGACGAGAATACTCAAACTTATCAGATAGAAGTTGTTATCTTGATCTAACACCAAATTCTCATAACTAATTTACTTGGAAATGTGTGTGCAGCTAGAGGAGAGAATTAACATTCAGATCTTAAGAGTTGAAGGGTTAAACAAGGATATGGTGTTCCCCTATCAACACATAACTGGCAAAATGGGAATGTCAGCGTTTGAAATATTGGGATTAGTTGAAGACTGTTTTATGTGAAACTGAATGTTACTGCTTGACAATAATGATAGTGAAATATTAGCCTTATAATGACTGATTGCGGACTACTCTAGGTTAGCATACAATTGAATATCCTCTAAATAACACAAATGTTTCCGCTCCAATCTGCACACACGTGTAACATTTTTCGAATTGGGTGTTTGCGACGCAAACAGGGAAACGTACGCTATTAGTGTATTCCAACTGTATTGCCAGGGTATGCCGCGAGTTGCGACGCTTTACAATTCATATTTCAGGGCTGGAACCATTCACCAAACATGTGTATTGGCGAGAAATACTGAATATGGAATGGACGGCTTATCTCTTCTGACAAGGAAGAGTATCATGGCGTAATGCGTATATTAGGATTGCTTAGTGTCATTCATTTCTGCTATTCCCATAATTCTCGAAGAGTTACCTACAAGATGAATGAGATCGGACGCGAAAAACATGTATGCAAAGTTGACTGTTCTCAAAAAAATTGTTTCACCTTAGCATACTAATAAACTCTACGGTTTTTTCCAGGACTTATCGGGTCGATGATCTCTACCTATGTTTATTTCAGAAATTCTTGTTAGTATTTGATCAAACGTGTGCATATTGAAGGAATGATTCTATCGCAAATTGTAGGACATTGTATTCATTTTTCGACTCAGCTTGATGAATTTCTGTCCAAGAACAAAAAAATATAGACTAGTCAGGTTGGACATCTGCTGAACCTTGAAACTGAGTCAAGCTCTCTTTAGGCTAGCACTAATAGTAACGCAACTTTATTAGGGTAAACCTAAGGCACAGTGTAACACGTAGGGCGTGCATGCCAGCATAAATAAGCGTCATAAGACCACCTAACTGGTATCTTCAAGGAGTCCATATGACTGACTTGAAGCAAAGGTTACTGCATTGGTGTTGCATTTGAATGCTGTAGAGAGACGTCTGTGTCGGTTTTAGTGTGATATTGCCGCATGTTCTAAAGGAACGTGGGACATTTACAGGGTCACATTTACTTGTATAGATGTTTGCTTTTAGGTTATTATAAATGTAAAAAATGCTTTCGAGTTTCCGTTTATGAGGTAATTAAAATTGTATTTTTGAAATTGAAGTGTGCAGTAATATTTTCTTAGGAAAACAGGCGTCGAAATTTGAATTTTCATTCCCGACTTGCACTAGCCTCGCAGAGTTTTGGCCTTTTTTTGGTTTGAGTGCTTTCTCTTTTTATGACGGAATTTGATGAAAAACAAACATGGAACAACAACATCCTAAAAGATCTGATGTCTTTTTTGGCAAAAGAAGATCGTTTTAGTCGAGTCGGGGTCGGGGCGACCTTTCCCTAGAGGGCGAGGTACTGGGTAAAGAAATGATGAAATAGTTCACTTCTTTTTTTTTTAACACATCAGGGCCCAGTTGTTCAAAGGCCTATTAATGCTAGCCCAGGGTTAAATTTTAATGCAGGTTTCTATATTTCTTTTTTCCAAAGCCTTTTAGAGAAAATTTTCCCTCTTCTCTTTAGAACATCCAATGATCAAATTGCAAATAAAAAGGTTTTAACTGAATTTTCTTTTAAAGCTTTCAGATCTGAAATCAAATTTCATGCTAACCTTGGGTTATCTTAACCCATATTTGAACAACCCGGGTCAGAATAACAAGCAAACGCGAAGCTGATCGGGAAGAGAAGTCACTTACAAAATTTTCAGCTTTTTTTTCAATTTTCAGCTTTTTTCAGCTTTTTCTTTTCGAGCTAAGAAGCCAAATTTTAATACGGCGGACTCCTTCTGTAGCACCACCAAATCAATTCAATATTCAGAGGAGCGCTGACTCGTGTTGCCGCGGGGCACTATCACATCGTTATCTTTTTAGCGCTCTCAACTCAGTTACCTACTTCTGATGGAAAGTTAAATTCCTAAAAAACGTGAACCAAACTGTCGCTGTGAAAAATTGTACGACGAGCGCAATGTTAGATTGAAATCAAAAATGGCCGGTCGAACAAAGGATCGCGAGCTTTTAGCGTTAGCTCGCACTAACAAGACGCCTGCACTGCAGGGTATTGACACCTGTGCATTTCAACTGGTGGTAACTGAAGACAGATTAATTCTTCATGAAGACAAAAATTTTTATTTAAATTCTAAACCTCCATGCAGTCGTTTCCTTCGTATAGAAGTTTACTACTTGTAGCTTTGTTTACGTTCCAGGAATGGCGTTCATTTGGAAACAATGACGTCGACAATTTTCTGAGTAAAAATCATTCATTGCCTTGGAAGGAAAACCTGAGTAACAGTATTAAACATGAAAACTTTGTTCAATTCGGCTCGAAAATTTCACGGCGTGTACAGACGGAATTATATGCGGAATTAGAGAAAGATCCATTTCAGCAATGGAATTACCGCTCGAGGTGGAGAGAAATGAGCGACTTGAAACTTAATGGTGAATTGATGTCGAAAGCCATTCAACCTGGAAATCCTGTCCGTTTGAAGAACGTGCTCATAAAAGCGGTGAAGGGTCAGCAAATCAATGTTGCAGTCATCGGAGGCTCAAATAGTGCGGGGGGAAAATTGGGAACAGATGAAAAAAGTTTAGACGGATTGTTTTTCAAAGTTTTCGCAGATTGGTGGAACAAAACGATTGGTAAGGTCACAAAGTCGTTCATGAAAAGTTACGAGGTTACTATTGGAGGAACTGGGAGTTACTTCTTCGCCTTTTGCTACAAGACCTTTATCCCAGAAAATCAAACAATCGACCTCGCATTCATTGATGCTTCTATTAATTTCAACATGAGAGGAAAAGCTGAAGCTTTTGAACAATTGACTCGTCAAGTGCTCCTATATCCTTCGGTCCCCGCGATTCTATACGTAAACCTCGTCAGCGGCCTCGGTGTAGACCCAAATACCAAAAAAGTTGTAAACCCAAGATGCATTAACTTAGAAAATTTTGGCCAAACCGAAGTGGCGCGACACTACGGTATAACCTCTTTTAGTTTGAAGGAAGTACTGTGCCGCAAGGAAGACGATAAATGGACAGCGGTCGTCACTAATATGGCCGGCTCTGATGGCCGTCATATTGGTATCAAGGCCCATGCACTTATTTCTATGTTAATGATTGACTATATTCGCGGGGTTTTTGATCAGGTTTTGAATGACCTAAGCAATGGAAACATTACCTATCGTTTTGCGCCTTTACCAGAATTGTTATTACTAAAACGAGACACTGAAGTTCTGAAACAACCGCTTTGCTGGACCAGGATGACACCAAATATTTTCAAAGATCTTCATCGCCCCAATATCCAAATTCAAATCACACAGAACGATGGATTTTCACCATACGGTAGTTTCCGTGATGAAAGAAGCTCAGACGGAAATACAAATACAGACTTGCGAACAGATGCACAGGGGGGGTGGGGAACGTGGCGGCGTTACAGTAGTATAAAGTTTCGTTTTTATGTTCCCTCTGTTAGCTCCTCTTACAACACCAGGTCTGTAATAATTTTGACACGAACGTCTGGCAATGGCGGAAAGGCCGAGGTAAGGCTGGATGAGGAGAAGAACAAAACGATTTATATTAACACAAAGTCGATCTATGGACAAACTCGGTTGGATACTGTTGCTACAAGGGTAAAGCCAGGATACCATACTATCACAGTCAGAACAGTTCGCAAGGGAAATTTCCTAGTGAGTGGAGTTGTAGTCGGACCGCCAGACTTTGAAAGACGAAAAGTTATATAAACAGCCTTTGACCATGTATAACATCTATCTGCTTCGTTCGGTTACGGTCCGGTAAACAGTCATTATTTATGCAAAGTGACGTAAGTTACTGAAACCTCATCTACAAGGCTCGTCTGCATGACATGTTTCTCCAAGTTTTGCTACCTTTCTGCTTTTTTTGCATATGGTACCTTTAAAGTAATGCTCCATGGTAAAATTGGCCCTTCTGACGTGAATACATCAATCATACCTATGTTGATTAAGAACTACGTAAATGCTAAAAAGTTTGATGGCCGGAAATCCGAGATGTTAAATGTAGCATCACATTCAATTCTTGTCTAGTTTGAAGGGTCAGTTACTTAAGTAATTTGACCAGGACGAAGATAAAAGATTTAACGAAAGAATTAGTTGAGCGAACATAACAGAGAACATAACTATTGGTATGTTACGTTCTTATCACCTGTTAATGATTAGTCTGATTCCAGGAGTAAACGAGATCTGGGAGTAACCGGATGATGCATGTTTTACACGAAGTGGGGTCAAAGATCCTCTCTTGATAAGATAGAGGGTTTAGGGAAAACAACACTGAGAAGACTGCCCACATACAATTCACAAAGTAATGATAAATTGCTGGTCACGAGTGCTTTATGTATCATCACATCTAAAGGTATCAAGATAGCCTATGCACGAATGGGAGCTCTCACCAGATCCTCTCTGAAATGATTTGAGTATCGCCTAACGCTCTCCTACTTATCTCCTGTCATTAGGTTCTACTGATAAGGAATTTAAATGATAAAAATATGCAAATTTATAGTTATAATGGTCTAGTGACGTTTTTATCTTTTTTATATTTCAATATCTAACGGCTTTCGGTCAAAAGAATTGATGGTCCTTCATTAAAGTAATCTAGTGTCCTTGTGGGTTTACACCTCGTCTTAATTTCCGAATTCATCCATCAGTCTGTAATTGCATTCAGGTAATTTAGTGTTAACAACTGGGTTGAAAACGTGAATTAGCCACCGTAAAGGGTAAAAAAGCTGACGTTTCGAGCGTTAGCCCTTCGTCAGAGCGATTAGCAATCGCTCTGACGAAGGGCTAACGTTTGAAACGTCAGCTTTTTTACCCTTTACGGTGGCTAATTTACGTTTTCAACCCAGTTGTTAACACTAAATTACCTGCTATACTCTCCCACCGACGCAGCACCACAGTTTCTTTAGAAACTTACCCCTTTATTCATTTGTAATTGCATTCAGTTCATATCCATGGGATATGTGTGCCAGTAAAAGGCATACCATTTAAAGTTGGCCCTATCTAATCGTATTTTTTTTCTAACAGACATCATAACAGATTGTGCGAGAAATTATGTCTTCCCAAATGAGTATTTCTGCCATCAACATGCTTGACGACGAAAAATGATTATTTATAATTTGGAAATGTTGTAGAGGGAACCTCTTTTTGTGCAGCAGCCTTGTTCTGCAAGAGGCCCGGCGTCTGCGTCATTCGGGCAATTCACCACAACGATGTGGCAGTTATTTGACGACCTTCCAAACCACGGTAAAGAGGCTATTGCAAGAAACCACCGTAACCTGGCCAGCCACTGGGAAGCTTTAGCACCAGAGTTCAAACGATAGCACATCCACGCTGGAATAGGAATAAAACCCCTTAGTGGCGAGGAAAATAAGGAGATAGAAGATTTAAACAAGATGTACGCTCAGACGGAAATACAGATACAGACTTGCGCACAGATGCGCAAGGGGGTTGGGGTACGTGGCGGGGTTACAGTAGTAGAGAGTTTCGTTTTTTATATTCCTTCAGTTAGCTCCCCTTGCAACACCAGGTCTGTAAAAATTTTGACACGAACGTCTGGCAGTGGTGGAAAGGTCGAGGTAGGGCTGGATGAGGAGAAGAACAAAACGATTTATATTAACACAAAGTCGATCTATGGACAAACTCGGTTGGATACTGTTGCTACAAGGGTAAAGCCAGGATACCATACTATCACAGTCAGAACAGTTCGCAAGGTAAATTTTCCTAGTGAGTGGAGTTGTAGTCGGGCCGCCAGACTATGAAAGACGAAAAGTTATATAAACAGCCTTTGACCATGTATAACATCTATCTGTTTTATTCGGTTATGGTCCAGTTAATGGTCATTAATCACCTAAAATGACGTTAGTTAGGTCCTGTTCGCACCACACCGAAACATTTGGTTTGGTATTTGCAAAAAAATTTGAAAACTTTGTAGCAACGAATTTTTTGTTTTCGTAATAGCGTACCACAAATGTCAATCAATCGAAATAGTTACCGAGATTTCGTGACAATGCTTTTCCTTTTAAGTCGTTTCCAGTCAAAGACTGATCGCAAAGCAAAATACCCCCACGATATGTTTTAATAGCCTTTCTTTGCTGTTTGCTTGCCATACAAAACCTGACTGTGACTAGTCAATAATTAATTCTGGTTTTGTTGGGAAGGATTCGGCTTTTATGGATCATGGAGACGTTAACTCAGCTGCTCAACAGACGTCGACGCCGCCGTCGTTTTCACATGCACCAGCGTAACTTCCCTGAGGCCTTTTTCCGTAGAAACTTGAAAATGTGGAGAGAGTCATTCGACAACTTACTAACACTCTTAAGAGGCTACGTTCAGAGAGAAGACACTCGTACATAATACCATTTAGCCTGGTATCAATTACGAAATATGATGACCAGTTGAAGGGTATCTGTCAGGGAACAATAGATTTTCTCGTCCGACAAAAAATTGTAGACCTCCAAAGCTAGTTGACGGTATCTTTGAAGTTTGGTGGCACTTGCGAAAATTTTGGTGGGTCAAACAAATCGTTCGCATTGAAAACGATTTCGCGTTGACAGATTTTTTTGCTAAACAAACAAAATTTCGCGTAGTGCGAACTGGCCCTTACTGAAACCTCATCTGCAAGGCTCGTTTGCATGACATGTTTCTCCAAGTTTTGCTACCTTTCTGTTTTTTTTTTGCATATATGAACTTTTTTCACCTCAGTGGTTGCGAATAATTTCTCGTGAAGATATAGCAGCTGGCACCTTCAAAATAATGCTCCATGGTAAAATTGGCCCTTCTGACGTAAATACATCAATCATACCTACGTTGATAAAGAACTACGTAGATGCTAACAAGTTTAATGGCCGGAAATCCGAGCTGTTAAATGTAGCATCACATTCAATTTCCTCTCTCGTTTGAAGGGTCAGTTACTTAAATAATTTGTCTAGAACGAGGATAAAAAAATCCACGAAAGAATTAGTTGAGCGAACATAACAGAAAACATTAAAATTGGTATGTTATGTTTTTACCACCTGTTAATGATTGGTACGGACTCCAGCAGTAAACGAGATCTGGGAGTAACCGGATGATGCATGTTTTACACGAAGTGGGGTCAAAGATCCTCTCTTGATAAGATAGAGGGTTTAGGGAAAACAACACTGAGAAGACTGCCCACATACAATTCACAAAGTAATGATAAATTGCTGGTCACGAGTGCTTTATGTATCATCACATCTAAAGGTATCAAGATAGCCTATGCACGAATGGGAGCTCTCACCAGATCCTCTCTGAAATGATTTGAGTATCGCCTAACGCTCTCCTACTTATCTCCTGTCATTAGGTTCTACTGATAAGGAATTTAAATGATAAAAATATGCAAATTTATAGTTATAATGGTCTAGTGACGTTTTTATCTTTTTTATATTTCAATATCTAACGGCTTTCGGTCAAAAGAATTGATGGTCCTTCATTAAAGTAATCTAGTGTCCTTGTGGGTTTACACCTCGTCTTAATTTCCGAATTCATCCATCAGTCTGTAATTGCATTCAGGTAATTTAGTGTTAACAACTGGGTTGAAAACGTGAATTAGCCACCGTAAAGGGTAAAAAAGCTGACGTTTCGAGCGTTAGCCCTTCGTCAGAGCGATTAGCGATCGCTCTGACGTCATCACCATCAATTGCCTCTCTCGTTTGAAGGGTCAGTTACTTAAATAATTTGTCTAGAACGAGGAAAGAATTCCACGAAAGAATTAGTTGAGCGAACATAACAGAAAACATTAAAATTGGTATGTTATGTTTTTACCACCTGTTAATGATTGGTACGGACTCCAGCAGTAAACGAGATCTGGGAGTAACCGGATGATGCATGTTTTACACGAAGTGGGGTCAAAGATCCTCTCTTGATAAGATAGAGGGTTTAGGGAAAACAACACTGAGAATACTGCCCACATACAATGCGCAAAGTAATAATAAATTGCTGGTCACGAGTGCTATATGTATCATCACAACTAAAGGTATTGAGATAGCCTACGTGCGGATGGGAGCTCTCACCAGATTGCTACAAGGGTAAAGCCAGGATATCATAATATCACAATCAGAAATTTCCTAGTGAGTGGAGTTGTAGTCGGGCCGCCAGACTTTGAAAGACGAAAAGTTATATAAACGCCCTTTGACCATGTGTAACATCTATTTGATTCATTCGGTTACGGTCCAGTTAATGGTCATTGTTTATATATGCAAACTGACGTTAGTTACTGAAACCTCATCTACAAGGCTCGTTTGCATGACATGTTTCTCCAAGTTTTGCCATCTTTCTGTTTTTTTTCCATATATGAACTTGTTTCACCTCAGTGGCTGCGAATACTTTCTCATGAAGATATAGCAGCTGGCATCTTTAAAGAAATGCTCCATGGTAAAATTGGCCCTTCTGACGTGAACAGGCATTGGGTATATCGGAGCCGCAAAGCTCTACTGAACATCCAGCCAATAAATCGTAAGATTTTTTTTTTCAAATGAGTTGGAAATGCAAACCTACCACCGTAAAGAGTCTTTAAAACTGACATTTTGAGCGTTGTCCTTCATCAAAGCGAATGACGTCAACTCTAGAAACTCGTTACAGTTGATGGAATATTTACAGTCGGAGTTAGAGAGTGTTCAGAAAAGAGCTCTGGCGTGTATTTTTCCTAGAATGCCGTACAGGGAAGCGTTGGAGCGCGCCTGTTTGACCTCTATCAGGGAACACCACGAAGAGATTACAAAGTCTTTATTTAGATCAATCAGCGAGAATCAGGACAGTAAACTACATCACCTAATTCCTGAAGCCTACAGCCCTCATTATAATTTCA